CAGTACGCCCGTTCTCAGGCACAAACAGCGTAGAAACGGGTTGTGCATAACTGCGCCAATTGCACCATAAAAAGATAATAAAAAGAACATGCCTTGTTTCTTCGCTCCTCATGACCCCAGCTAGTTGCCCCAATTTCCTGTGCAACACCTTTGGGGCAAAAAGGACTCGTGTGGATTTGGCACATGAGGGCAAGTGTATAAAATTGTGCTGAAATTCTATTTATTTTTTACTCTACACACACAAACGAGTGTCATCCCTCCACCTCCCCCATGTCGGTCCTCATTTGTGTTTACTCTGCCACAGCGCATAGGTCACTTTCCCCATTGTTATTCTGCAGCAGTCTCAATAACCAGTTGGAAAGTGCATCTTATCCCAAAGATAATTAAATACACTGCCTTCCAACCACAACAAATACAGATTCCAGGGAGAACTTACATTCTCTGTTTGTCAACTGAGGAAAGATGTGTTTGTCTTAGATAATTTAGACTGCTTCTCCCTTCCTTGCCACATAGCATTCCTTTTCAAAAATAAACCAGCACTGATCTATTAAACCACATACTCATTTTTTTTGGGGGGGAGGGGGCACGGCTGTTGCAAGCATTAACGGGAGATGCGCATGCTCACAGCCCTACAGCCCCCTCACACATTCTTTCCACATGGGAACAGGCTTCGGGTCCACTTATTTAATGGTGCTGCCTCAATACAGTTTCACGCTTCCGTTGATGGGCTCCATTGAAAACGACTTCTCCATGCGAACCAGGAAGAGACCTCTCCAGACAACAGAACCACTCTTCTTATCTCTGCGGCAGCAATCTCCTGGGTGACACAGATGCCGTTAGATAGTTTAATGTGCGTGTTCCTCTGCAGCCCGCTTCAAGCGGCCCCGGGCGCTGGCAACCCTCGGGACGCCACTGGAGGAAAGAGAGAGGAGGAGATCGCGAGATTTAGAAAAACTAGACAGCTTCCCAGTTCAAATGTGCTACAAGTATGCGGTGCTTATGTTCAACAGCACAGGAGCATCCCCACCCCCATCCCAAGCCATGTTGAGATCCTACACCTCTGTTGTAGGTACTCGAGTACCAGAACTCCACGCAGGATGTGTTAATTGGGAGCAACATAGTTTTAACAGTGTTCAGTTCAGAACCGTATCCCCTGAACAGCCTATTATGCAGCCAGAGACTGCAATCCTCCTTGGCTGTTAGAGACTGTCTGTGCATATTGATGCTTGTTCTGGACTTTTCCGGGGGGGAAAGGAGGGGATTATAGATTGTCTGGTTTAAGTGATGAACAGAGATTATGCGTTTGGCCACAAAAGTAGAATCCTTAGGATGACTGATCCTGCCAGAAGCAGAAGTGCATGGTGGGAAGGGAAGGGAAGATTCCTTCCCTGTCTATAAGGAACCAGTGGTGAAGCTGCATGCTCCGGGGGCGGAGAGCAGGTAGGGGCGTGGCATGTGTGTGTCCCAGGGGGCTTGACACGCTGCCCACGGGGGTGTGGCATGCCGCCAGGGGGTGTGGCGCATGTCCCGCAGGGGCGTCACGCACGGCGTGGTGGTGGAGTGCGTGGCGCGTGTCCAGAGGGCAGCCGTGATGGTACCCCCTCCCCGATGGTGCCGGGGGCAATGCGCTCCCCCTGCCCCCCCTTTCCTTCACTAGTGTAAGGAACAACATTGGATGTTGGAGACTTTTGGAAGGAAATAACAATAGGAAGAAAGCTTAGGAGGAAATGGTACTAAGGCTGCAAGATCACCGGGTTCTCAAATGCTGCAATCAGACGTCAAGGGAGACTCTTTTCAAGTTGACACAGCAGTTGCTCTGACATAGCTGGTCCCTACTATAATAGGAAGCACTTACCTGAGGCACAGACTCCAGATGGGACATCATCTTCCTATTAGTGTGCTATTTAAAAAAAGAAAAGAGAGAGAGAAAAGTTCCCATTACAGGTGTATGATTCCCCTTTCCTGCTTCCCTCCTGGTGCAAAAATACCTGTGAAGAGTGTTAAACGGTTTCTGATTCTTATAATGCAAGAATGTGAATTAGCAAGAAGGCAAAATCTGATAAACCTTTTTTCCCCTTGGATAAACACAGTTAAGGGAACATCTTAGCTGTTTTGCAGGTTGGAATTTTGGGATATGGTGATTCACAGTGTAATTGTGTGCCTGTTGCTTGGAGGTAAATCCAGGCAACTGCCATAGGAGTGCAGTCTGAGGCTGCAATCCTAACCTTGCTTACCTGGGAGAAAGCCCCACTTATCAGTAGTCCTGGTTAGGATTGTGCTGTGAATCATCTATAGCTATACTAAAGAAACCAGAAAAAAGGACTGAAAGTCATGAAAGTGGTGACGGGAAATGTTAAGCTGAAGACATATTATTTTACCTGAATCATTTATTGGAAGAGTCAAAATATTGATCTGATTAGTAAAATTGTGAAAAGCCCCATTTCAATTTTTTTGTTTCTTCTTTGAACTAATATAACCAACCGGCAGCCTAATATTTTATAGTAATGGCAGTTATGTTACAACAGCGACCTCTGCTGGCTACCTACACATGTTTTTATCTGCAATCTTCTGCTACTGCAGGGTGAAATCAATGCTGGCTGGTGACATTTTGATTTTGTAGGGCTGCAATTTGTAACTTCGCTGTACAGCACTTAATTAAGAAAGTGTGCCATTCCACACATGCAGTGCCAGGGGCTCCTTACTAAAATACATCAATTATCATGTGCACATCGATGGGCAGGAAAGAGCTTCCATGTAAGAGGGTCCGAAAATGCTTTTCAGACAAGACTGATTCTATCTCTTTTTAGAAATTAAGCCATGCCACATGACATACATTTCTGAATTCATATACTATTTATACATAAACAACAATTGCCAAAAAACACACACCCTTGAACACAAAACGGTCATAAAATGTGAGGAACACTTGCTTCTAGTTGCATGCGGTTTTCCTCCCCCGAAAAACCAATCTAACTTTTCATTATCCAAAAACACCTTCCCCTTCTCAATTAAAAGCACAAAGTATTCCAACCAATAGACAAAAAATGAGGGTATATCAGAGCCTAGCAGAACACGCTTGCAATTCAGGGCTCAGTCAGTCCTGAAAAAAACGTGATTGTCACTGTTCATGTGTAGAGTACATCGCGCCAGTGAATTATCACAATCGGCCTATGTTATGCCTGGATTTAAGGACTGTATCTTCCAGGCCAGGCTTGGGGAAGGATGGGGAGTCAAATCAGTGTGATATCCAGACAGGCTTAGATCAAAAACTTTTAGCCTGCAAGATGTACATCTTGTGATGTTCAAACTCCAGAAAGGATGGTTGCATATAGATTTTTTACTCAAAAAATTCAGATACATATTCTCTCTCTCTCTCTCTCTCTCTCTCTCTCTCTCTACTTGGCATAGCTGTCAAGTGTCCCTTATTTGAAGGGACAGTCCCTTATTCCAGCACCATGTCCCGCTGCTGTCCCTTATTGATGGATGTCCCTTAAATGATGTCCCTTAAATTTCAAAGGAAGCAGCTTCTCTCCCTCCCTCCCTGCCGGAGGAGGGAGGCTCCAATTGTGTTGCTTGGCTGTGTTTTTCACCCAATAAGAAGTCTAAGAATGACTGGGGGGTGGAGCTTGCATGCCTTGTGTTAGGTCGTGGGTTGACATAGCAGCCGGCACAGCGATTTCTTCAAGTAGCTCTTTATTATGGTAAGCTGGAATACAACTGACTGCGACAGCTCAGCCGGCCTGTATTTATAGGCAGCCGGCTGTCAACATTGTAACCACAACAGCCCAGAGTTCCCGCCTAAAATAACTGCCGCGG